ACGCTCAGCCAGGCCCGTTGCTCCAGTTCCGCGGACCTGTTGGCGCAAAGCCGGGCGAGTCGCCCTAAAATGCGCCGCAGCGGCCGGGCTCCTGCTCCGCGGCCGGGGCACAGCCCCGGTGTGCTCGGTGCCGAGCTGCCCTCCGCGCCGCTGTCCTGCTCCCGGCGGGCCGCCGGGCGGGGGGGGGCCGCCGGGGTGGGGGGGGGGGGTGGGGGGGGGGGGGGGGCGTCCTTGCGCCCATAAAACGTTTCTGCGTCCTAATGTCAAATAATCCGGTTTCGTCAATGCAGCTGCTTGAGACTGCAGAGTCATGTGAGTAAAGGCTTGTACAGGGCCAGGCATGGCTGGAGTAGGAGTAAAGATGTATTTTTCTTGAGCTATCCTACGAACCGAGTGGCATTATGGAATCGCTGGTTTTATACTCGCAGTAATGATTTTTTAGAGTCTGACTGGTTTGCGGGAGTGCCAGTTCAGTGCAATGGGAATATTTCCCATGGATTTGAGAGGGCTCAGGCGTATGCCTTCTTTGTTCTTTCTGAAGTTGAACCATGGGGTTTTTTTCCTAATAAAATAAGAATTCAGAGTAATAGGGAGAAAGGTTACGTAGAGCCAGATGTTGAAAGGTAGTGCATAGCACCAACTTATGGTTCCGAGTTTGATTTTCTTGGTGCTGATGTTGGCACCAGATCCATTAAAATTATTTTCTATTTTCTCAGCTCCCTCAACATCGGCTGTGTCAGCAACAGGACAGTACAACAAACTAACTAGCACAGTGACAAAAGACTTTAGCAAACAAGTAAAATGACAATTTTCCGTGAGCAAACACATAAGTGACAGCGCAGCCGTTGATGATGGTACTGTGCTGAACTGAGCTATGAGAGCTTTCTTTCAAATAAAACAGCTGATTTACTAATGTCATTTTTTTAAATAAGCATATTATTATTTTCTAATATGTAATGACATTTATTAAACCCGTCATTGATTGAGGACCCACATGAGGGTTAGGCTGAGAAAAATAACAGCTACCTCAAAAGCGCAGCCCTGCAAGGTTTGTACTCTGGTATGGGACTGTTCCTTGGAAACAGTGAGCTTCTGGTATTTCAGAACTCTTTTGTAACAGTAATACCCGAGACAAGATCAGTTTCAAGGGTGGTTCTGTGGAAGGCAAGGAGATTTGTCCCTAAGATGGATCAGGGCTTTATTATCTGTCTCTTTTCATTGTAGGGTAATCTTTTTTGGGGGAGGGAGGTCTGCGTAATGAAAGGTTAGCCCATTTCCTCATTTCTGATCTGATTCTGCTCTTTGGCAGCAGAGGATGCTGTGAAGCTGCTGAAGCTCTGCAAGTAAGAAGGGAAGGAGAACTCTGAGCTGGGCCCTCTTCTGCCATCAGCTGGAGGACAGGATCCCTGATGAGCCAGGAGACCTGAGCCCCTGGTGACAGGAGTGAGGGAGGGAGTGTGTCATTATTTGCAGGAGAGATCTGTGACTGAGGGAGAAGGGCACTACCATCTTAGGGGCTGTGGTAAGTCTGCTTAATTTGGCTGCACTAAGCAGCTCTTTGAACAGTTCTTTATCCAGAGCTGGCTGGGCTAACTCCGTTTCTTCTCGAATTGCGTCCACGGGGTTTACCTAAACATTTTCATGATAACCAGTGTGCATTGTGCACTTCTGTGCTACTTACTGTAGTAAAGCTCTGCTATTTGAGTGGGTTTCTTAGACACTACTGTAATGGAAAAAATACATAAATGCTGAGGCCAAAAGACATGTAAAATGCATTCATGTTAATGAGCACTTAATGATTTTTTTCTGGATTAGGTTGAGTGCAAACTCTGATTGATAACATCTGCTAATTCAGCTGGATGGGACCTCTGGAGGTCTCTAGTCCAACCCCAGGGCTTCACCATCCCAGGCTGGATGAGGTTGTGCAGGGCCTTCCTTGTCTGTCCCCCATCGTGCCTGGGCTCCTGCCCCAGCGCTCCACCACCCCCACCAGGAAGCATTTTTCTCATATCTAGTGAGAATTTCCTTTGCTGCAACCACATTGTCAGGTCAGCGTCTTGCTCTTGCTGTTGAATCTTAGAAGTACGACTGCTTTACAGACTAGGATTTCTCGGCTGAAGTGTGGACAACTGAAGCGTGGTTAGGCTGCACTCTAAAACACTCCTACTGTTTCTGTGCTGAATCCTCTCACGTTAACTCCTTGCAAGGGCTTCCTCTCCAACAGCAGTTTAAGGTTGAAAATTCAACCAAATGCCATATACTTTCCCTTTGTGGGAAAGTGGGGAAGGTGCAATTAGCAGACAGGGCATCAAAAATGGCACCTTGCACAGGAGAGATTTTTAGTAGCCCTGCTTATATGTGTACAGCAAATTGTGTTGGCCAGTAAAAATAGCATTGTAGAGAGTAGCTCAAGCTTCCTTTTCAGTGTTTGAACTAGTGTGCTTCTCCACATTATTTCAGCTTCCCTCTCTCTACAGTACTGAGAATAGGAGCATGTACTGATGTGTGTGAAATGCTCAACAACTCAACAGTGGTAAGAGGCAAGAAAATGACAGCTTACAATTTGATCTGTATTTTCAGTGCATAGTGTTGGTATGAAGGGTGGGGGCTTTCAGCTTGTGTGTGTGCTGTTGAATTTCTGTGCTCTTCTGTTTCTTGGGAAATATAAAAGGAATATAAAAAGAAGAAAAAGGCACTCAGAGCTTAATCAAGGCCAAAAGGAAAACCTGGAACTGGTTCTTGCATCTGCTTGAACAAGAATTGAATCTGAGGAAATGTATCTTACCCTTTTTTAGTGGGCTAGGTGAAATTCCAAGGTCTTGACTTCCCTTTGAAATCTCCATGTCAATTTTTGAAATCTGACTGAAAATTTACATGATGAGATGACTTTGAATATTGTATGACTTAGTGGGTCATCCATTTTCATACCTGTATGTGTTTTGTGAGGGGGAGGTGAGGGTCTTGTGGTGGGTTTTGTTTTCAATCAGAGTGAAGCCATTTAGATTTGCTTTGTAGCCAAAGCCTCTACTGATGCAAACAAGTGTGATTCTAGAAAAGGTTGTAGGGCTACAGTGATTTCAAGAAGATTTGAAGAACTGGATTCTTATCTACAGTTTTATGTAAGGTGACCTCCAATGAAGAAAAGAATATTGCTGATTTCTTTTTGTTGTTGTTTTACCTCTACTTTGAAAAGAGCTCTGAAGCTTCTCTGCTGCCTGTATTTAGGTGCTGTCTACCTTGTTTTTCTTTTTTTTATGAGAATTTATGCACAAAGAGGGTATTTACAAAAGAACATAAGGTAGTGAAGCATGATCAGGTCTGATTCAGAGTGAGACAGGCACAATACTTTGAGGCTGTTTGATACTTTTGTTTTGAGCACTGAATTAATGCAGTGGCTTATCAGAAAATTGGAAGAAAAAGATTCATTGAGAACAGAAAAATTCCCCATCAAGTTGGCATTTCTATTACTTCTAAAGCTAAAAGAGCTAATCTCATTCAGTTTACTCTATCACACAAAGCCTCGATTGTGACTTCAAGCAATGCTGAGGGCTTGAAAAGTTGGACAAGTACTCTTGTTTAACAGAGGTCGTCTCAAAGGTTTTGCATGGGAGTATAAGTTGAATTAAGTTAGTATTTCAGTATGTGTCAGAGAGAAGTAAAAGCTTTGGGGACTGAGCTGAAACAGTAAGTGATGTGAAAGTTGTAAGAGAAAGATGAAAACCTTTCCTTCTATATCTGTCATCTCAGTAATTTGTCTAGACGGCAGGTTCTTAGGAATCCCCCTTTTTTCTTTTCTTTTCTTTTTTTTTTTTTAATGCAGGATTGATTCTCCTGGGTATATGAAGGAGGAAAAGGGTAACTACAGAACAAGAAGCTGCTGTGCTGAAATTGCTTCAGGCTACCTCTTGGAAGGTAAGAGAAGTTATGAAATGCCTTAGAAAAGCCTTTCTTCCTCTAATGCTTGATCATCTTTACAAAGTTAATAAAAGAGAAGAGAAAAAGTGAACTGTAGTGTTGCCCAAAGAGAGTGAGTCCCCTGGAGAGGCTTGCACTAACAATCAGGCCCCAAAATGTGCTCCATGCACCCTCCTCTGGAAATGTACTAGTATTCCAGGTCAGGTACTACGATCTTCCCTGCAATGAGAGCTCTGTCCGTTGTTTTCCTGCTTCCTCTGCACCCTTCCTTCAGCTCTGCCTTCAGATTTGCTGTTACGTAACACCATCATCATCAAACATCAGGAATTTTCCAAAACCATAGCTATTGCATATGTCGCTTCATCAAGGCTAAAAAGCCAAAGCCCGACCTATCTCCCAGGCTTCCAAGGAAAGGGAAAGAATGAGCAGAAGTGATCTGTTGAAGTGGATTCCCTGTTTCTCTTCTTGTACTGAGATCCAGGTCAAACACACTACTCTCCTGCCCTAGTGTCATAATAATTTTTTTTTTTCTTGCAACCACTGTAGCTGTTTATACAGACTAAAT